TAAGCAGCTCGCAGACATTGTGGCGAAGAGGAAGAGGGATGACAAGTATGGAGACAAACCAATAAAATAAGAAAATGAACTATTAGAACGCAGAACTGTAAACTCAACCTTTTTTTAAGTAGTACAGCAGTAGTTACAGCTCTACGTTTTTTTTAAGCTTGAGTAGTTTACAGCTCTATGTTACATAAATCTACAAATAGCATTCTTAAATAGATTTCCAAATCCTTAATTTATTTATTGTGCGATTAAATATGTATGTGAGATTGTTTGTCGTTCAGTAAGCACTCTAAAATAAATCAAATCTTTAGGGGCTAATAATTGACATGAACGACACAAGTTGTTTCCATAGTAGCTGTTCCCGAAATCTCCCGATCCTTGGCGGGGTAAGTAGGGAATAAAATTAACCGAGGATGATCGCTAATGAAAATAAATTGGCGGCGGGAGATTTGAGATTACACCGACCGCGACTGCCACCCGTCGCCCGCGCGGCCTGTAACTCTACATACGTTGATATTGCTTTATTTTTCTTTTTTTTATGTAGTAAAAAGTTATTGTATATTATATACGTGGGATATGGTTTATATGAGAGTATGGAATGGCATGTACTTAGATTTCTTCCATTCGTCTTTTTCATTTGTTCTTTTTTTGTTACAAAATAATTTTCAATGTTACATTGGAAGATAATGTTCATTAGGAAATCTATCTATCTATCTATCTTGCTTATATCACTTCTTAGGTATTTATATTATAAATGCGAAAATTTAGATGAAAGAATGAATGAATTTGTTAGAAAATATCTCCAGAATAGCTGCACGTATCTCGCAGCAATGTGGCGTAGATGTAGATCATAGCCTAAAAGAAAACATACGCTACAAATTATGTATTTTTTTTAAATTTCGCCCGGATGAAGTCGCGGGCGACTGCTAGTTATTGACGTGAATGTTTATTCGCCGTATCCAAGTACGCGTATTAAATGAGTCTGCGTCAGAAAAATCAAATAGGTACGGTTATTAGGGAGCGAGGTCGTATCGCAAATGAGAGCCGCGTACATCCGCATCATCTTAAGTCAATGTGAGGATCAACTTTGAGTTATGACTCGTGGGATCGTTTCACTTATTAAAGAAGATGGCTTAAGCTTTGCTATTTTAGATAGAAAGTTTTTTTTTTGTACGACTAATCAATATTGTCCTCAAATTTTTATATTTCTTTGTGGAACGATTTTTATTTTGGTTACTTCTTTATTTAATTTGAGTACGTGGAATAGTTTAAATTAATATTACTTTGTAAAAGGAATACTGCGAATAGATACTACTAAGATATTATGACCTGCCAGTTAAATAACCGGTTTGCGAAGTAGCTAATTGAAAATTTAAATCTTTTACTATGAATGTTGTTAAACGCAATAGTGTCTAATGTACCTAAAATATAAAAAGGATATAAGTTATTAAATTATGTATATTTCAACCAAAAAGAGTAATTGACAGATATAAACTTAAAAAAAATGTGATAGGTATATAGCCAATAGCCTAATGGTTAAGGGTACGGATATCCGATCATGAGTTCGGGTGTTCGAATCATGCCATTCGACTATTGTCGTAAACCATGTCCTAGTACAAGCTATAGCTTAGTTGGAATGGTACAAGAAATATAAGTAATTTTACAAAAATCTGCTAATATTTTAATATAAAAAAACTGTTTTACCTTACATCGGTTTTACAAGTCTCGAGTCATCCCTTATCCTCAATTTTCCATCGAGGACCAAAAAATGTCATGCCAATTAATAAAATCTACCGTAAGCCACGGCTTAGCTGCCTCCTTGTTATATCATAACTAAGGCTCGGACGGCAGGCGCGGCCCGCAAGATAGGCCGAATGGGCCCACACCACAGTGAAAGCGAGCGCTAGACTATGAATTTGCGAACCCGAAAATGATAAATATTAAGTCAAAGTTAAAACAAAATAATGCAGAAGACAACACTTTAAATTTGATGTTTATAAGGTTTCGATGACAACGGCAACGCATCATTTCCTTTGGTGATGTGGATGTCCAAAGATGTCGTTGTCAGTGGTCCCATCGCTCATTTGCCCTTTTATAATGTACCACAAATAATATAAGTAGCACATAACATTAAAAATAATTATAAAATAACAAATTACAAATTCAAATATACTCCTAAACCATTAGCTATGCATTTAACAATTTCGTTATTACGACGGATTTTAAGTTAACTTTTGTTAGTTCTTTAAACGCTTTGTTTTATAGCTTTATAGCCTTAACTCGCTTTACCGTATTGTGGTGCGTTACCTAACTCGATATTACGGTGTATTAAGTTGCTGGAGTAAATCTTCCTTGCTAGGCAATGGGCTTAAGAGTTTTATTGTCGTGAGCCAAGAAGACGGTCTAACAGTACAGCTTGTTCCCTTTCTTGTTATTCCTTTAAACATTTTGTTGTTGATTAATTTATGTAGTGCAAATCTTGGAAATGATGTTTTATGAAGATTTTATTATAACACACAAATGTTTTTTTACAATAATGTCACGAAATAAGGCTCTATGAAATAATTATTATTTCTTATCGTATGTAATATAATATAAATATCGTAGATTTAAAATTGTGTAAAAAGTTAAGTCATAGTTGAGTAAACACATAAGTAGAGGGACTCAGAATTGAGTTAATTAAAAAAATATGTACACTTGTAGGCTTAAAAATATGTGTGATTCGTTAGATCCTAATAATAAGGAAGCCTTTAATTATTCAGTTATACGTAAGAAAATTTTACTTCATACCTTCACAGCCGTTACTAAGTGAGTAATAAATTACAACATAACATGGCATGTTATAATCCATGGTTAACTAACATAAATGCCCAGCTTCACTCGCTGCGGCGCCGCAGTTTGTTTAGATTAAAACCTTAATGGTTTCAGCGATATTAGACATGAAAGATTTTTTCATGCTTATAAAATTTGTAAGGTTGGTAATGATGATAACTAAAGAAAAAAGCTCTGTTAGTAAGAATATAAGTATTTTTCCGATGCGCCTGTTAATTTACTAATAGCAAAGTTTTAGGAAACTAATTCTAGTATTTTTTTGAAAACTAATTGAATGTTAACTAAACTTTATTACTTTTTCTTTTACCGTATTCTATTGTTATCGATTTTATAAAATATATTATATATAAATAAAATATAATATATTAATTATTTATTTTTTAGAAATATATGAATCGTATTGACTAATTCCATTCCGTGTTAAATAAAACATACTTAAAATAAATACGATAATAATTGAATGAGTTTGCAAAAACTTAAGTTATGTACTTAAGTTAAAAAGTTAAGCTTACGTATTAATTAAAACATTTCGCAGCATTTTAATAACATTAAAATTGATATAATTAGCGAAATGACACTGAGGAGCAGACACCGGGATAAGAATCGCAGGCGAGTCTTCTCGAATCAAAGAAAATGTTTTGCGAAGCGAAGCACAAATCTCTCTTTAATTGGCTTAATCCATATTAGGTACATCGTTCTCAAACGTTTTTTGTACCTTTGTCTTCATTGCATTCCTTTATATGCGCGATGATACGTCTATTCATTGTATCAAGTATTATTTAAAGACTAAGAATGATTCTGTTTTATTAATTCATGTTTGAATAATGAGACAAAAATTTTATAACCTTAAAATAAATTAAAAACATTTTTATTTTATCAAAATTTATGTTTTTTTTTGGCCATAAATTGGGATGGTTTAAATATTGTTTTTGTGGTTTAAAAGCAATACAACTAATACTACTTAAAATTTACTTTGAAGTAACTATAGCGACGCTGGTTAAATTATTTCTTCAATATTGTAATCATAGTAACGTTTAACGTATTATTTATATAAAATGAACAGTACTCAGTCAATATTGATTATCTTATTACTTAGTTTGTATTTCCTTTTCAGACTTGCCTCCGGAACTCAAATACTAGTGAAGATCGAAGACGCGACAAAGACGTCCGCAGATATTTGGTATCTCATCGTTTGCGAAGACTTACAGTTTGACAGGTGATTTGGGTCCACACCGACGCTCGTCGCTTCCTCTCCAGCCTATGTTCTAGACCCCATCTATATACATTGCATTGTATTGTCGTCACTGTCAAGATATAGATTTGATAGCAAACTATATTTTAATAGTCTGGATACTATTCTCTGATAGTTGAAATAGAAGCTTCAGTATACAACCAAACTTTTATTTAGATTCTTAGAGTCGCGGTGCGTTTCAAGATCCCGGGACTCAGGATAGTTTTTTTTTAAATATTAACAGAATTTCGTTAATTTGCTTAATAGTTTTTGTACCGTTCAAACTAAGCTCTAGGCTTGTACTAGGACGTGGTATACGACCATTACGCTATTGACGCTTCGAATCGCACTTGATGATGGCCTCCGGGAGGGTTTTAGTGATCCAAGCCTAGCGTCTTTCCCCCAAAAGGCTGGGCATTTTTTCAAAGATCCCCCTCCTCAAAGAAAAAACAATACTCTTATTATAGAAGAATTGTTGAGGTAATTTAAAACTAAAAGGAAAGTCAATTTGAATTGTAGATATATTCATTTAATTTTTCGTTTATAATTGAATGGAATAAACATTTAGCCAATTTATTTTCCATTATCTAAGCAAATTAATGCTTAATTGTTCGTATGAGCCTAGTGACGAATTACAATAGAAATCCTTAACTTAACAATTAATAAAATATTTACATTATTTGGAAATATCATCACAGCTTCACAAAACAAGCATAACATGGAGATAACAAAACAATGTATGTGGAAATATATCTAGTGATGAACGATACAATCATAATTAAATAGACCCTTTTTCACACACAAAACAAACTGCTACTTTTCGTACAGTCAGCTGCAAAAATAAAGTAGCAGACAAGATATCCAGATAGGAACTCCTATAGTAATCAATTATATAAGTACAACCAAAGTCGCCAAATACATATTTTCTCTTCAGTTTTTGTAATTTATGTAATTTTATACAGTGTATGTAATATTATGCAGCTGACTATACTTTTTACGTTATCATTATATTTTGTAATTGTTCATGTGTTTCTATTCGATCAATATATACAGATGTGAATTGGGTCTATCTTTCATGACTCTAAAAACTACAAAACAATATTCCAATAATGTGTTACAGCCTCGAATAGTAAATGCGTAAATACTGCTAGACAAATAGACATCGTATATCTGAAAATGTTTGTTCACTATTGCTGTTTTTATATCCAAAATAAATGCATGTGAGGAAAAAATAAGGAACGTGGAAGGCGATGGATATGCCTATATGTTTTACATCACTTAATATTATTAAAATTTGAAAATGTGTTAAAAATTATTGGATCCACAGATTACTACAAATTAGAACAACAAATAATTTTACTTTATTGTCAAAAAAATATGATTTTTAATAAGCCAGATTTCTTGAGTATATGACAAAAAAATCCAATAATTTTCACATATGAATATATAGGAATAAATAAAAATATAACTAAAAATAGAAGACATTTTTGAATTCCAAACATTTCTATGCAAATTATAAGATAAATACAGATGTCTATGTTTTATATTTCCGATAATATTCGCGATAACTTCTCAATAAAAGTTGTCCTAAAAGAAAAAAAAATATAATTAATTCAACGTTGAGATGATATCTTTGATATTGGATACGATTTTGGTAATCAAAATAATTATAATAATTCTATAACACGAACCAATCTTTGGATTGTGGAAGTATTATTTAAATATATTACGAATAAAGGAATGTGCGTAATATGTGACTTGAGATATCAAATTTATCTCAAAGAATTTATTAACATCGAAGTTTTTAAGCTTAAGAGTTTTTACTACACGTAGTTCAATTTAATCTACAATTTTAAATGATCTACTTTTATGTGCAATACAATTTAACATACGTATATCTATATTAAATGACTCATTAATTACATATAACATTTAATACGATTCTAAAAGTGTACTCTACTTTACGCCTTCTACGTTACTACTTATAATAGTAATGGAACGTTTGGTGAGAATATCCATTCATACGAGTATTAACTAACAAATTTTATAACTAATATAATGCACAATAACATCACTAATTTAATATATAATAAATAAATTTAATTCTAAATTATTTATATACAAAGCGAATGTACTTATCGGTAGAGTTGAGATTCATATATAGAATACGACTGATCGCTCTACAAATGTTCAAATACAATTCAAAGACAATTTACGGCCCGTCTAAGCAATATGAAATTTAAAATCTTTCCAACTAATTATTTACATCGATTCAATGTCAAATAATCGATAGTCTGTTATCGAATTATTATGCTATATAAAGAATTTAAAAATATAATCTGTACAGAACTGATTCATTTTTATTTCTAACATGGCACTACATACCATAAACGATTCGAATTCAGTCTTTCGTAATACACGCTGAAATTAGAAACGAAATCATGTGATTCTAATCACAAGCGTTAATACAACTCCAAGATCACTCATTATGTAATTTACTTGAAGCGTTTTGTGCCATAACATGTATCGATAAACCAAGTATAAGTTAAAATATGTCGCGAGTTAACTTACTAAAGATCCTGAAACAAAGAGCTGTAATATTGTAAGCGACTGCATCATATTCAACTGACTATCGTTCTATTTAATAATTCATTGCTTATTTATATTTAGTACAAGTTTAATAAGATATAGACGCGAAATACAATTAATGACCTTCATTTGGGGTTTAAGGTTATTTAGAGAAATGTAGAGTCGCTACTCGCTTTAAAATTCTATAGTCGTTGCTATTTCTACTCGCGATTCAAATAGTTCTAGTCATAGTTTGTATTACGAATAGTTCACACCATCTTTCGCTCAGCAATAGCGTGATGGCCGGGATGCGAGTAGTGGCTGGGTGAAGACGGTTCGTACAGCGACATTTTCAGTCTCTTACACTTGGCCCGTCGATTTTTGAACCAGAACTGAACATTCTTTGATTCCAGTCGAGGAAATTTTTGCCTATACGGCATCCTATTCAGCTCTTCTGTGTACTTCAGTATGAGATTATGAGAAGGATGGGTGTTCATTGAAAACCATTGTTCGAGAACCGGGACTTCGGAGACCGGATCTATAAAAGTGCGGTTACGTTTGCGTCTTTCGTCAGATGCACCAGCGAGAGCTAGGTTTAAGCCGCTGGCGCCTTCACCGGGTACTGGACCCACGCCAGGGAAACCAGTCATGTATTGGCTCATGTACATGATGCCGTGACCGAACATCGGATGATTCGGTACCATAGGGAAGGGTAAGCGATCCAGATGCGGCGTTGAAGGACGATAGTGTCGTTCTTGCACGATGTCGTCATCGGAAGCCACGTCTTGCTCGTCTGTTATTCCGTTTTCTTCTTTTACATTATTATTGTTATTGTGAGAGCTGTCGCTGTTCTTGTCAGGAGATCGTTGAGGAGAATTTGTTTGATCAGATCTGGTCAAGTCACGCAGCTCCTGCTTTATATCATGCACCTGAAAAATAATATTGTTTAGACATCTATTTTTAATTTACTTGTCATGTAGGAGAATTTAAAATTTCTCATTTACAATGGATTTATTTTACTTGCTTACTACTAAGACAAAATTAAAACAGATTTAGTTACTGGGAAGCCATGATAAGATATTTAATTACCTTTATAATATCGGGAGGCTTCGGTGATTGTTTGGACATTTCTTCGTCATTATTATTCTTCTTTGTAGTTATAAGAGAGAGGGGTGCGTCAGGACTTTCAGGCCTATCATCTGGATTTAAATCCCCGCCGTCGTCTTCCAAATCGGATCCCGCATTCGACAAATTGTCTTCGGACATTATAGACATTGGATATCTGCCGGGACTGCCTGACATTTGCATAGGACTCTTCATTGAATTGCGATCTTGCATCGCGTAATTGTCATTACTCGCCATCAAAGATCCATTGGATGGACTATGACTCCTACTATTAAAACCATTTACACCAAGATGACAACCAATACCTCCAATGTTGCGTAGTTCGGCACGTTTTTGTGCAGCTCGAGCATTTTTAAACCAATATACGACATTGTTCACGTCTAACGGTTTACGACCACGTCTTGATTCTAAATTGTTTAATTCCCTTACATATTGTTGTATCTGTTGCCGGCTTGGGTGTTGATTTTCAGAAAACCAACGCTGCAACTTCGGCAATTCAAGTTCAGGATCAAAGCTTGTCCTCATTCTAGTTTTCTGTGTCGGATATTGGTTTTGGACCGTCTGCAACGCTGGATGCAAATGATCTGGTATAGCGTTAAGAGTAGGCGAGCGATTTTTAGGCACAGGTGACGAATAATGGCGTGGACTAAATGGTGGCGGCCGCGGCGAAACTTGGGCGCTCCACCAAGATTCGAATTTTCTGCGCATGTCTTCAGATGGCTCGTGGAAATTGTGAGGTCCCGGTGTACGATCTTGCCCTCTACAAATCTGAGCTAATGTGACCTGCAACAAAAAACAACCTTTCAAACCTTCGACCGCTATTAGATTGAACAACAAATATAAACAAAAGGTAGCGGCAAACATTTTTAGACAGTTTTAAGGAGGCCAGTCTAACCAGCAAAAGATACAGAGGTAATTGTTTGAATACACAAGAGCATTGTTTCACAGAACATCGCCATTAGATTATGAAAATATTGGGCCGGCTGTTAATGTATGTGTCATGCCGAGCGATCGCGGTACTGACGCCTCGGCCTGTTTACTCGGTGGTTAGTGCACATCACTCCTGCCCCGCGCCGCCGAAACTTCAATCATGGCCTGCTCTAAAACAATGAGCGGGAAGGGCGTCTTAACAATTAGCGCCCTCCCATTGCACCTTCGACAAAGTACCGGCAGCGGCCGCAACCTAAGTAGTTCAACTAAAAGGTATCGCATCGGTAACTCGTTTGGAAAACATCCCCGGCATTGCCGCGCTCTAGATATACATTTATTAAGAGACGACTCTGTTGTGATAGATATGAATTTCACAATTATTTAATCAGCATTAAGTGACAAGGTGCTTGTTTGATGTGATATTAATCAGCGAGTAGTCAATCATAAAAGAAGTTGTCAGATTACGCGCCGGCGGGCGGCCGTCGGGTTTGTTTAGCTCGGTGGTTATGCAAGTGAGATCTGTTCGTATCGCTAGATTACACACTACAATGGCAGCGATTACGTCGTCAAGCGAGCTGTCACTCCCTCCAGTTTGCATTGCGCGTTGCCAAATCAAACTAAAGTAAATAATTGTGCGCGTAACAACATCCAGATTGTGCCTATAAATCATGTCAAGCGCGAGGTGTTAGCGCCCAACCGGAGTGATGCGTTAATCCGTTCTTTGTTTTATGTTTTTAAATAGTGCGGTCATATTTGTTCTGAGATATTGTCTCTCCTTCAGCCGCGAGCAAGATTTACAAGAGCTGGCGCCTCTGCCTGATAACTTTGTCACGTGTAATCCGCCTAAGTACGTAATTCGGTGTGTGATTGAAATCATTCTCGGCACTGGAAAGGACGACTTTGAATACAATAGGCTTACCGTTATCAGATATTGTTCTCCTCGTGTGTACATACGCTACTTTACGCTCTGATGGAATTAATGTTTAATAAATTGTACTTATTCTTATAATATTTTTGTGCACAATTTTCCTTTATATTTACAAGTTAAAAGGAACATTTCACAAGCTCAAATTGGCATAATAAATTACCATAACGCCATCATCGTTCATCTGACGTTTAGCTGCAAACTTTTGACTCGGAAGTGTTTGATTATCTGTTCCGGTCTGGAGTTCGTTCGGTTCATTTGCTACAAACTTCCCTTGACTTTTACCTTTGTTCATAAATAACTTAACCCTTTCTATATTATATTCAAATAATAATACAAAATTTGAACGAATATATCGAACTGCGTCATAGATATGTAACGAAGTTGAGATAAAAATGTGTTGCAAAGAGAACCGTATTTTTACGTTATTTATGACATTTAATTAAGTAGAATATGGATTTCATTGATTTGCACAATATACGAAATTTCTAGTAAATCTATAAAATATTGATTTGATATGAAAGCCCCATTTACACGTGTTTCAGATATTTGGCAAAACGCGGAATAGATCCGGGCGTCTGCGTTGCGGCGCTAAAGCCGCGGGAGGGCGCAACGAGCGCTAACCTCGCCTTTAATAAGATTATAAAGCATTATTTTATGGTATTAATAAGATCAAAAGCGTTGGTACATCTAAAACTCCTTTTAACCCTCTTTCACTCTCGTAGTCGGTAAGACGAGGGCCCTTCGCTCTAACCCGTTCGCTACAAGGTGTATATTTAGGAAATTATAATAAGGCGCGGGGCGCGGATGAGTCTGAGATTCAATTAAATTTATTATGCATGGAGATCGCTCGTATGAGGCAGGTGTTCATCGCGTCGCCGAATTTATGCCTGTCTGTCTAAGGATTCGAATTCCACTACTTAGAACAAAAAGCTATACTTATCGGATGTTATGTATGTGTAGCTCTATATATTCTGAAGTTGAAAGTGATATTCTATCCAGAGGACGTACAAGATACATTAATATTAAATTCCACACTTAATCTTTTTTGACTATATTGTTTACAGCTATACCCTCTACATATCGTAATTCAAACTACAAGTAATATTTTCATTCATGTGATAATTTTCTTTAAGTAAAGGATAAGAATAGAATACTAAAGTAAAAATCTGTATATCACATTGTCGAAGCGTGGCAGCGTTAACATGAAAACAAATGCCACTTCTAATTCTTCCCTAACTGATGATCCTTATTAGTAGGGACTTAAGCGTAACCTCGCAAATTATAACGACCTACGAAATACACGAGCTACTTAAGTAAGAGTTTGATAATCTGTCTCCATCGCGAGTTCTTCAAATCCGACCTTGTTGTGAGATGTTCTCATTAATTTGACGTTTCACAGAACGCTTCAAAGATAAATTTATTCAAAAGATTTGATGTTAATGGGATGTCAAGGGGACGTAATCGTTTATTTATTAATTATCATATTTAAATAATATTTTAACGTCTTACTATAACTATAATTTGTTACTTAACAAAATTTTAATTCTGAATAAACCACGGTATGTGAAACGAAGAAATTAGTAAGAAAGTTCTTAAATAACTATTACATTCTTATTTATAAACTTTAAATCTTACAGGATTATATAGCTATGTTCAGTCTATAAAATTTGCTTTTGATATATATTTAAAATAAAAATAAAATATAGTTTAAAAAGCTTAAAGAGGTTATAAAATAACGTACCTAATTGCTATACAAAATTTCAATAGCTCTCGACACTTAAAAATTATAAACGTTCTGTTTCAATGGACTGCGAGCTTATGGAAAACAATAAGTTTGACGATAATAAGGTGGGGGGTTTGGGTTTAGTCTACGAGGGGAGCGCCCGGGGTTACAACAATCAAGCATTAAAGAACATTACATCGTCGTTGGTACATTGTGAACGGCGGTTTAGCTCAGTGTAGCGAACGCCTGTCGCCCAACATCAAATTGTACGGTTTTAATACACGAACCCCCTCGATGAATATTGAAATGACAGGCGTTTAGAAAATCTTGTACAATGCCTTAGGATAATTTTACTAACAATTGTCTAGTTTTCATCATTAGTGATTCTAAATTTTTTAAATCGTAGAACTCTAAACATGTCAAAGAAAGTCGTGGTGGTATCACTATTTGTAACTCTTGAAGGCAGAAATATGGTAGCTAAGAACCAGGAACCAGAAGACGAACTTCGGAAACTTTTTATTCCGTCCTTGTTTTATTTAGCATGGACGAAGTCGCGGGCAAAAGCTGCTACTAACTAAATTGTAACTCTAAAGAAATGAATACCAAATTTTATAAATTAACACTAAAAAGGACATTTTAATAATTCTTTTTATGTCTAGCTTTCTCCACTTCTCCACAATAGTATAATAACATTGTTAGTGTAAAAACATAACATTTTTAAATAAAGTACATTGAACATGTTTAAAAATGCCGAAGTTTTCATTTCACGACATAATTTAAGATTAAAGAGTTTACAAGCAAGCTGTACTTCATATCAACTAGTGTGGCTTCACATTAAGTATTTAGATGCACATATTATAATTATAAGCTTGTTGAGCTGCAATATTTATAGCTGGTCAACTCCCACGTTCAAAATGAACCAATTACCTTTAATCTAATTTCCTTAATATCTGATATAATACAATATTTTAATTATTATAAATTAAGTAGCTGTCGCCCGCGACTCCGTTTGCGCGGAATTAAAAACAAACACAATTAGTAGCCTATGTATTCTTCCAGACTATGTTCTATATGTATGCCAAATTTCATCGAGTTCCGTTCAGCGGTTCTGGAGATACATTCAAAAACACATCCATCTATCCCACCATCAATCCAACCAAACATTCGCATTATTGCTACTGAATTAATTAGAAAAGGACAAGAGATAAACCATAAGGTACCGTAATTTGGTAAAGTATTATAACATCAGTTATAGTCATATTATACTTAAAAATGGGACAAACAATCCTTTCGTACTTGATACTAGTAGTTATTCATAAAGTAAACATATAACACTTAATGATAATATTAAAAAAAATCAAAGTACCTCATCTAAAGGGCATCCAGTTGAAATCAACAAAGGTCTGCTCTGCACCAGCAACAGCCTTAAAAGTTTGTCCTTAATATCCTGGAGCGGTGTAAGCCTCGGTCTAAGGAGTTGGATCCGCAGCGTGGCGACAGTCGTCAGCTCACCCAACACCTCGCCTACAGTCACCAGTGGACCATCAGAGATCTTCTCGAAGGAGAGTGGTTTCCAGTTGTTTATTACCACTGAACCTAGAACAATTAAAGAGCAATGTAATTACGTGTGTTACATTTTACTCGTAACCGTTAAACAAAATCCAATAACCCTTGCTGACTGCAAGTGCTCCTATTAGACTCTAGAATGAAAATACGACACCTCATACTTTTTAGTTCAAGGACAGGAACATTTGTCTTCAAGTGGTCGGAAGTCACGATGGAACAGACATATTGGTCTGCTAGAAATAACATAATTAAATAGACACAGTTATTCTGGAACGTTCTATTTAAAACATGGATGGATTGATGAGTAATTACGTTATTTGACATGGTTAAAAGTAAAAAAACATTTTTTTTTACGATGGGCGCAATTAGGAACATAATAATATGTGCCAAACATTTGCATTCTACTTAATTACGCACGTTTCATTTTTTTGATAACAACGCACTTGATATAATCGTATCGTACCAAAGGTTATGTATGTGATAAAACTTATCTTAATACGAATTCTAGGCAGTTCTTTAGTTATTTGTTGAGGATAATATTATATTATCCAGTTTTAAATTTTGCCTGTACAGTAAAATGCTTGCGAGCCTACCTCTTACTTTACTATTAATTCCAGTTCTGTTTTTATTTATCTATGTCCCTCTGGTTATAAAATTACTGGCTGTTGTCCTCGACTCCGTCTTCGCGGAATAAAAAAAAATAGTTGCCTATGTAATCTTGCATGCTATATTGAATAATCTATGCCAAATATCATCAAGGCCTATGCAGCTGTTCTGCAGATACCTTCTTAAAAACATGCATTTAGTCATCCATCCAAACTTTCGCATTAAAAATTTTAATAAAAATATAAGATAATATATTCCCGTGTGTATTGTTACAGTTTTTTTTTTAATGTTTATTTGCTTTCTTTCATAAAAAGATTTAGTAACATACCTTTAGCGGAGGCAGCGAGTTCATGGGGGTATCCGAGCCTCATCATGGCGGCGGGGACCAGCTCGTGGAAGGCGGTGGCGGCGGGGATGATGACGTAGCTATCCGTCTCTACCACGGCGCGGCGACGCCACGTGCCCTCCTCCAAAGACGATACCGCTTCCACCACGCAGTGCACCGGTAGTGTTTTACCTGAACAAAAAGTTATGTCTATGGTTGATTCAAGCAAGTCATTATTATTTTTTCTGGTTCTTAAATACTTTTTTGGATATAGGTTGAAAATTGTATGCCTTTAGGTTTTGGACGATAAAAATACATTTGTCTTGGGAATAATGTGATGAACTAAAGTATAGTGAATAATTTTTTGCATGAAAATACTTAGTATAGTATTTTCATGCAAAAAATTATTCATAAATAGTAAGCATCCATCAAATGAACCGGGAAGAACGTAAAGACCATTATGAAAAAACTTCTTGTCCGCTTTTAAAATAAAAGTGCTACTTAACGTAGAACGTCGAATCGCCTGTCGTTAAGAAAGCTTCTTAATTATTTAGCAACTTTTCAAGCGAGAAAGCAATGCTTTTGACTTGCTCGCGGACGCGGCAAAAAACCGAGTGAAATGTTTAAAATAATAATTAATCCTTGTTCCATGTCTGGCGGCCAGAGCCCGCTTTGTACCGGTCCGTGCTTTTACCGACCTCTTTGTAGGCGCTTCTTTAGGCCGATATTAAATAGTTCACGCCATTTTCCTATATATTTTTTTTATTTTGATGAGCACAGCGATGCTTGAATTTCGTAGTGCTTACTTAATTATAAAATATATTTTGAAAGTAGACACTCAGATTTAACGTTTTTCTTATTGTTTGAAAGTGTTCTTTAAAATTACGAAAATGCATTAGAAGTCAATTGTATTGACTCGTTTTATTTTAATATATAAGAGCGGACCTACTTTGTTCCTATGGACTTAACGTACAAAAAATGTTATAACTATTAATAAGTAAAAGGTTAGCTTAGTATGGACATGTTAAAAGGATGGTAGAATCGCGACAAGGAGAATTTTAGTTATGAGTGTGGAGGCGTACAACGGTAGAGTTCGGCCTAGGAAGAGACGGATGGATCTGAAAGGTGAAATGATCAAGAAGGGACGGCTGATATGACAGAAGATCGATATGAAGGCCATGAACCTGGTGCGCCGAAATATTATAATTACACCTAACTATTCTATCTCTACATGTATATCGCAATATACTAATATTATTGTTATAAGCTATCAATTGAAAACAATACAAAGCTTTCGGTTCCACTCGCTGTTATTGAATTTACATAATACCATCCGGGTAGCGGGTTCAACAGAATACCGGCTCACCGTATTCAAAATTATAAATTTTGCGGCACAATAATCGTTTAATAATACTGGCACGCTACTCGAAGCGGCCCTACTCCTGGCTTAACGTACAAAATAACCGGAATTTTCGAACGAGTATAATCGTTTAAAGTAAGTTTGGATAGTTTTCTTCGTTGGGCGTTTTCGAGGGTGGTTCGGGTAGTTTCAGGGTTAACACCTATAGTCTGTAGTTAAGCATGGATTAGACGAGATTTGGTGGTGTGCGCTCGCCCGCCAGTCCGGTCAATTAAATCCTGCTGCCATAAAGGCGGACTTTATTAATTTCTTGCATTAATACTGTAAAATATTGCGTCTCTAAATTCCAGTAGACATTTAAGTGTACGGGATAAAGTTGTCTTTTGTTTTTTGCAAAATAGAGCTTAACTTTTGGGAGCAAAAATACGCTAACACATTTTATCTTTATACAACTTCTTGTGTTATATACACCATTAAAAGCGACTGTTTTCTGAGCGCAGCTTGCTCAAGACTTGTGCGAGGTTAAGCGCAGCGTTCATTACTGTAACATAAAATATCAATTAGGATCTTGAACGGAAGCGGGTGCGGGGGCGGTAGCGGGCGCGGGCGCAGAGCGAAGCTTACACAGCGCAGCCGGGGCTTAGCCGACCTAAGCGTACTTGAAAAGAGTTCAGTCCTTAACAAAGGATTTCACGTCGATGTCAAGGAGCTCGCAACCTATAAGTAGTGCGAATTAAAACTTTAGACTAACAAGAATTAAATGAGCGAAGGAGGCGCCCCCTAGTGACGCGATCAACGCGCGTCCCGGACTGACGTTTTAAAGTAACATTAATGCACAAGAATCTTGTGTTAAAATTCTTTACAAACATCAAGATTATTCAATATTATTCTTGTTTTGTACTCTTAGTTAATTTTAGATATGAATCAGGTAGTGAAAAGTGAGATTTTGAAAAACTAAAACAGCGTTTGTCTACTGTTGAAATTAATTTATGGAATTTTACTAAATCTATAACGGATGAAAGATAATACATGAATATTTTTTATTAAAATAGTTATATAAAACTACAGATTAGCTCGCATGTCGATCATGTTTTTCTGCACTCTGACCTTTCATTCAATCAACATTATGTAACAAATTTTAAACGTTCAAAATATGTTTATATTGTTTTTAACACAAATACTTTTACTTACCACATTGTAATGGATTAATCAATTTGGTGTTTATTATATTTGTTATTTCTTTACATACAAAGCCATACTCTGACTATTTAGAGTTTATAGAATACAAATCCTGCATCATATATGTACCTACTTTTAGACATTATTAGCTAGAATCCTTTGACGCGAATGACGTGCTTTCGTAACAAAGTCCAGTGTCAGAATGAATAGTGAGGGGACATAAACGTCGACATTTTAGTAGTGAAGGGTCAATACCCTGCCACATTTCCAGATTTTCTTCCTAACACTACATATAATACTCGTATTCTGCGCGTAAAACATTGCCCTCTTTGTCAGTCGGGTAAAAAACACACTTATGTTGGTAAAACGGCCTTTGGATTTGCGTGTTGGTACATCGCTTTCGTGAGGCGTGATCTATTTAGATCGGATAAGTCGGTCTATCGTGACGGATGCTGAAACCTCGCAAATACCGTGTCGTGTCGCGTTGTACTAATCTCTTAAATCCTGCACTCGTGTATGTCCGTGTAAAAATGCTCGTTAAGTTAGTCCTAACCACGTATTATATGTCTGATTCTTTCACATTGAAAGACAAACTGGATATTACATTGAAAGTGCTTTGTTTCCTGATAAAATGATATATTTCTTTTTTAAACTAATGCCTTTTTCCTTAAAGATATTTTGGAAAATCGTATAGAATTTAACAGAAGTTAAAGTACAGTATGTATTTAGGGTTGTTATAATTTTTTTTATGTGGTCTATTTTGCGAAAAATGTCAATAGACCAAATCATCATTGTGAAGGCGATATAGTACAAGAAAAGGGAAGAGATTGGATCAAACAGGGAGAAGATAAAGACAATTGGAAAAGGTTACTAAATATATATATATATATAAATATATGGTGGCAAACGAGCGAGCGGCCACCTGCGATCGCTGAAATAGCGAAGTGACCGTTGCCCATAGACATACGCAATTCTATATGCATTGCCTACCTTTAATCGACGGAGGAGAGGATGCACAGAAAGAAAATATTTTCCCTTTCCATGCATCCTCTCATCCGGAAAGTCCACTTCCAGTTCCCATCCATTCCTTATAATAAAAAGGGTGGGAAGGGAAAGAAGACTAAATTAGGCCTCCGGGAAGCACACTCATCAGACGAAACGCGGAATTGCTTCCACTTCACGTCTGCCTTCTGTGTGGTCGTGCGAAGATGTTAGTATATATATATATATATATATATAAAGGCTACAAATATAAAATGTAATCAGCTTTTATACTATAAATATTATACTATTTTAGTTTCGAGTAAAAAATAAGTAATACAGTATGATTAAAAAAAAATGGAATCCGTATATTTTTAATAAGAGATAATTAAAAACTTGCATAAGAAATGTAGTTTTTGTCGTAAATGTTAATCGTTGATTATCAGGAATATTACACTTTTTAAGACACATATATTAACATTTGGCAAATTAATTAAACGCTCATTCATATAACTAATGCTAATGTCAAAAAAATTAATGAAATCTGTTGACTAGATAAAAATAGCTTAAAATGAAATGAAATGTAAAAAATAAAGAACAGAATTTTTAACTGTAATACTAATTAGATAAACGCAGATCAGTGATATCATATATGGAGTGTTTCATGCAACTTTAAAGTTTAAGCAAAAGATGATTTTCATTTCATTAGTATGCGCAATGCAAATGTTTACCAGTATAAAGAAAAAATCCAAATTCGGCAAATTGTAATAAACTAGTATAAAAATTGCCAGTAAAATAAACTATTAAAAAAAACTATAGGGTTTTTAGATTATATTTGACACTTCTACAAAATTTGAAAACGTAACTTTGTGACGACGTGCATATAATTTTTTCTTTTAAGTTAGAACTGTATAAATACTTATTTAGAAATTCTATTACATATTTTTTATAATAATGAGTATCGAACGTCACTACAAAGTAGTGTGGGTGAACCCTTTTTTATATTAAGGATGTTACAAAAATCGAACGGAAAACATCGATTTTTCATATTAATTCAATTCACATAATGTTTGAAATTCGTATCGATGTATTCTATTTAATCGATTTTTTATGCACGATTTAGTAAAGTTACTATAACATTATAAAACAAATGTGATTTATTAAATTGGCATTGATGTAGACCTTTTAACTACTACAACACCACTGTCACATAAAAAAGGTTAACCCAGTTATCGTGGGTTTCAGATACTAAAATCTGTGAATAAAACATCGTGACCGTTGTCTTTCATATTGACAAAACAGAGGTAACATTATGTTTTAAACGGGTATTTTGGGTTTCAGAAACCCACGGTTATTTTTTAAAGCTTAATAACATGTATTATTATTACCAGTTAAGGTTATAAATTAGCAACCATAAATAAGTAGTTACTCTTAAAGAGTAAATTAAGTGCGAAAATAATTTGATGAGCCGGTTCGAAAAGTTTATTTTTACCGCCTTAATATTTTGCCTAAAATTAACATTATTACAGTTAAATATTGCTTTTATTATAAATAAATTAGATATCATAGAGATTAACACGACCAATTTTAAAATAATCTTGTATATATTTACATACATTTTATATGAATGATATAATTTCTATATTCAGTATTGTCATTCTTTTTTTGACAG